GATAGGGGTATTTAGAGGAAGACTAAATACAGCAAGCAGCAAGGATGGGACAAGGAAAATGACAACCCAACAGACATCAAAGAGCACGCTGTTCCTGCTGTGGGCAAAGATGTGGGCTCATGTCAGGCCACAGAGCTCCTGGCAAAAGCTCTACCAGCAAATGGATGATTAGATCACGCAATTTCATCTGTTCTAGTTAACATACAAGCATTTCTTCACAACATTTAGGGACATGTCTATCAAGAGGCATCAGGATCCTCCAGCTGCCATGACCCCTCCTCTGCAACCAACAGAGGTTTTGCAAGAAACTGCCCTGCGCCATCTCAGTCGCTCGTTATCGTCCCAGTCCTCTGGCAGAAAGCTCTCTCGGAAACCTGCCCGAGCGTGAGGTTTTCCAGTCCTTGTCCAGAGAAGGTTCAGCTACAGCACTGGGGGTGCCAGCTGCCTTTCCTCGGCCCCGTGGCGGGGTCCAGGAGCCAGATGGAGCTCTCTGGGAAGACCTCAGGTCATTTAGTCTGGGCAGGAATCACGCACCCTCTGCCCACTCATTCCTACCTAGATATAAAGGTGTACAACCTCATCCAGCGCTTGTAAACCTGGCATATGCTGGTTAACCAGAGTAAAATCAAGTTCGACGTTAAATCCCGCATTAATAGAAAGTTAAAGAGGGCTGGTTACGTGTAGCATAAACCTGGATGTAAGCAATGGTTCTTGCAATGGCATTTAACCAGCAAGTGTCTCAGGTAGCACCCGTTACTCTCGCTTCTTGTAAAAATTCATTGGCTACAAAAATGTAGGACACATCTCACAAATTCACCTAGAATACAGACCACCATGGCAATTTCACCTGCATCTGTCTGGGAGCACCAGTAAAAACTGGCCTGGAGCTCATCTTCACACATGGAATCCACTCATCTTTAAGTGCTATGCATTCCTCCCTACCTTACTTAACATGTCTGATACGCACAGCTAGCTAAACTGCCTAATGTCGCCACTGCTAATTACATTCCAGTATATGATTTTAATAGTGGATCGATTGGGTTTATTTCCAAATTAAAAAAAACAGAGTTGCAGCTGGTACTGCTGGACCTCTGCAGATTTTTCAGCACTAGCGCAGTGTTCCCGCAGTGCTTGGGTGGTATTTGGGCAACACTGTTAACTCTGGCAAGTTTATCAAGTTTCACTGAAACAAGCACATTAAGCTCATCTTCTTTCAACTCTCTCGCCTGAGAAGAGCAGCCCCTTTGCCTGGCAAGATCAGCAGCAAGAAGATGACTGTTGATGGCAGAAGTTTGAGTAGCTGCTTCAGGAGCTGTCAAAACATCTTGCTGGATGTCTGCTGAACATGCCCAAAAGTGATTTTCAGTCTTCAAACTATTATCCTCCAACCAGCTTTTTTCAGAATCTGATATGGGACAAACCCTGCAGTCAACCCCACTTTTATATATGTGAAGTTGCCACTTCAAAGTTTTGATACTGGGTCATTTCTAAAAGAAAAGGAATTTCTTTTCCTTGGGGTAAGATGTAGGCTCTTCAACTACGATTGAATAGATCTTCTGTAGCCTCAAGCCTCGAGTCAAGTATATCAGTTGTGAGACCAATGAAAAATTGTATTTAAGTAAAAGCAGATTATTATACTAAAAACCAAAAAAAATTAAAGTTTTAATATTAAATCTTGTATTTTCAGGAGAATACTGGGTAAAAAAAATCTTCACATAAACCACAATTACTCTTTTTACATAAATAATAAAGTAGCTACTTGCAACTTCTACGTACATTAGTTACATTACAAGGATGAGCAGGCTGTTGTCAGTTTTTCACATGAGAAAATCATTTAACTAGATTCTAGGACTTGAAGTTTTCCGCACAGGATTGAGGATATTCAATAAGACTTCAATAAACCACTTCCCTGATACTCATCGCAACCCTGTAATTGGAAGCAAAAGCATGCACCTGCCTGGAAACTCAGAGCAGGAACGGTTCGAGCTCAGATGAGCAACGCTGACAGCTTTGAAACCGAGCAAAACAGCGTAAGGAAGAGGAACACAGGGAGGGAAACTGGCTGAGAGCTACGAGGTGAGAAACACAGCTTGGAAAGGATGTCGAGCCAATACTAGAGAGATGTTCAGATAAACCCAGGGTGGGCAAGGGCCCTCTCATGTCCCTAAGTCAGAGGAACTGTCCTGTTCTTTCTGAAGCGCCCAGCGACGCTCTGCTGATGTCAATGTGGGGTGCTCTGCCGTAGCCGAGAGCTACACCCAGCTTGCCGGGATAATTGATTAGTCAGTGTGTGTGCCTTCACCCACAGAGGCAGGGATCAGCTTGTGGTCAGAATCACGGAATCACAGAATCACAGAATAGTAGGGGTTGGAAGGGACCTCTGTGGGTCATCTAGTCCAACCCTCCTGCTG